TTGGTTTGAGAATGTGTGTAAATAGATGGGAAGATTACAAAAGCTTTACAGGGGAGTGTGTGTAACTGTGTACAGTATGGTATTTTTTGCGGCTTATTTTGTTTAAACTTTAAAATTATATTTCTTCTTCTTGAAAACTCATTGCAAATAGCAGAAGCTGGGCTTATTAGTATTCACAGCCCCCATCTGTATTTTATCAGATGCAATTCTTGTATTGTTTTAGTAGTTTTGTGACCTTTTGTATCCATAAATCTTTTGTTTGTTTCAATGAATCAATGTCAATGGTAATTTTCTTATCTTTTTTGCTCTTAATGTTTTTTCTGTTCTACTACTTCTAGTTCCACCATTAAATATGTGTCTGGTCCACAAAAATCACAAACTTTCTCATGTGCACCACAAGCACAAGGGCAGATATGTCATTTTACATTTTCTATCTATATATACACTTCAGAAACGTCGATTAATGGCCTCAGAAATATAAAACCTGCAACAAGTTTTCTGCTATGTTCTTCTTCTCCTAAAAGACCAAAAGATGAACACTAAACCATCACTTTCTCAGACCAAGATCCTCACTTTCGCAACTCGGTTTGACGAAAAACGCACTCGCTATGGACGCTCAAGCGTTTCTGCAACTCTTAGCTCAAAGCCAGTCTACTCCAGAGAACTCAAGGCTACAGAAGAGACAACAAGAATCGACCCATCGAATAAGACGAATGCGAGTAACGAAGATAGTTTCTTCTCGAAAATTGCAATTAATTATCTATCAAAGACTCTTCAAGATTCAGCAGGTTCGTATCTCACGTCTATTCTTTGAATCTTTTGCTTATTTAGAAGATCAGAACAAAGATATAGTTATTGAAAACTGAGAAAATTTTCTTCAGGGATGAGTAGTAGTAGCAGCAGCAAGACTACTGGTTATGATAGCTTAGTTGATACGGCAACTAGGGTTGCAAGTAACTTAAACACCAAGCAACAACATGAGCTTGTTCTTATCGCTTTGGACAGAGCATTTCCCACAGTGATACTCTCTTTGGTAAGCAAGCTCTTATAGATTTATCAGGATAATACTTGAGCATATTACAATAACATTTCTTGCTAAATAACAGGTCAAAATGCTTTTTCCACCTTCAAAACTCTCAAGAGAGCTCTTCGCGCTATTCACCACTATATTTTTCTCGTGGCTTGTTGGACCTTCAGAGGTAAGAAATAGTCTGTTTCATGAGTTCTCAATTCTACTTTTTGCCATTGTTTTTGAGTTGAAACTACAGAGATTTTACGCGAACTTTGATTGGTCTATTATTGTCAAGGTGAAGGAGACAGAGGTTGATGGAAGAAAAGAGAAGAGTGTTGTGTTTATAGAGAAGTGCAGGTTAAGTGTAATATCTCTCTATTTGGTTTTGGTCCCATCTGATTACTAAACTTCAGACAAATATCATAATTCTTCCGTAAACAATCATTACAGTACATCAACCACTAGCAACAACACTAATTGCATAAATAAGTCACTTAATCATGCCTTTAACTGTTGTTTTAATTTGTAGGTTTCTTGAGCAGACGAATTGTGTTGGTATGTGCACTCACCTTTGTAAAATCCCATCCCAAATATTCATTAAAGACTCTCTTGGAATGCCTATCTACATGATGCCTGGTACTACACAGAATCTCATTTGCTTTATTCATAATTGCAATCACTGAAACAAGAAGATTATAAAACAGTTGAAATCAAACTTAATATGTGGTTAAAATAGTAACCTGCACTTCCCAACTTGTGGAGGCTTAATTAATAAGATCTTTAAGGGTCCCATTGATACACCCACTAAGGACACAATTAACTACAAATAGACCCATTAAGATTTCAAGCTAAA